ACAAATAATAACAACAGTAGGTAATTGTTTTAATCGTAATTGATGCAAAAATTGAATTCTCCAAGATGGAAAGGCCCAGCAACTTTTTACAGATACTGGTTTCCAGCTGGCAGCAACGGAGTACAAGCTGGCAGTCTGTCTGACGTGGCAGATGTGACTAGTCAAAATTTTACTCCTATAAAAAATGAGTAAAATCACATGCCATGTAAGAAAAATCACAATACAAGCTGGCACCTACAATGTTTTGAGTCGCTTAACAAAAAATCACATGCCATGTAAGAAAATGCCACATAGGCGGTAGGCCCTCTCAGGCTCTCCTATGAATATGGTAATGTGTGTGTGTTTTGAGAATGCTTTGCTTGTGGTGTTTATGAGAAAGGATATAGACTATGAAATTCAAGGTCGATTCTTATGGGTATAAATGACATTTTTGCATCTTGTAAGTATTAATAAAAAAAAATGTACATATATAATTAAATAATGATAAAAGCTAACTATATATATAGCAGGACAATCCGTTTGGATTGTATTCCAAATCACTAGAATGAATCGGTACATGCCAGCAAATCAGTCAAAAACCGATTAACGACTGATTGAGCCGGTCTATATCTTTCGGTCATACCAGTTTGAACTGGTTCATTTTTTCAAATAATATATTTACTATATTTTTCCTTAATATAAAAGAAAAAATACATATTTAAACATAATGGATATATATAAATTACTATTAGTTAGTTTAAGTACTTGAATTTTTTAATTGGATGAATACTTAATTAACAAAATTGTTATATATAATTTTTACTATGTAACTTATTATATATGTTTAAAAATATTAATAAATTAAATATCGATTCAACCACTGATCGGACCAGGGACAATTGAACACATAACTTGACCAATTCGATAATCGGTCCGATTTTGAGAACCTTGCTATAAATATAATTGTACAAGTATATTTATGTACATATATATAAAATAAAAAAAAAAAGTTGAAAACATCTTTATAGCTCTTACGTAAGAAATTATGAGAATAACTTTCTTTTTGGAATTTTTATGCAATAAGTCCCTCTTGAGTCCATGTACAAAGTCGATTTGTGAAAAGGAGGTCGTTTTCGTGAGTTACATCAAATACCTAGTTAATTTAAATGCATGTATGTTTATATTTCATATTTGTCATGCGAGGAAAAAATAAAAATAAATTAACGATCGTGAAGCTAACTAGTGCATGAAAACTATATTTTGAAAAAACGTTGAATTTAAATATTTAATCTTGACTTAAATTTGCATGATTATATAAGAGATATCACGAGCAAGCGTGGCAAAAAATATAAGCAAATTAAGAGATCACAAAAGTTACTAAAAGTAAAAACCTTTATGAATATAATATTTTCGTACAATTCAATAATATTTAGTCAAGCAGCTTATCAATTACATCAAATATGACATTTTTAAGTCAAAATTCATAGAGTGCTGGAATTATCGTAACATTTACTCTGTCTCCTGATTATATCAACTAACATGTAATTATACAAACCCATCATTTAGACAATGAGTTGACTTTTTTTATCTTGACCAATTGTCTGAGTTGTCAGTTAATTAAACATAAATTACCTTACTTTATGAAATGTTGATAAGGAATGAAACCAAACCTACTTGCCTAGTAATTAGCATAATGCAATGGAACCAACATATCCGTGCTAGATTTGATATTAATTGTAAAATGGTGTAACATTATAAAATATATCTAATTTAATCAGTTAAAGTTTGAAATAATAGTTCATTTTGTAAATTATAACATTGACTTCAGCTGCACATGTCGCCAGTTTACTTTTGTGGAAATTGAGTATATATGGTCTTTGTCAAACATAACAATCTCGAATGAAATTGTGCATATTTAAAAAAATAAAAAACAAAAAATTATGAAATTGTGCATATTTAGATAGTTTTAACCCACATTTGTTTCTACTTTCTATTTCTAGTCCTTTGTAGGTTTGACAACATTACCGACCTAATAAAAAAGCAAATTTGCTTTGCGTTTTTACTTTTTACCAACCAATTCATATTTTTGCTCCGCGTTTTTACCACTCAAATGGGTTCAATTACATGCGTTTGAAGTTGACCTCTACGGGTAAATGAGTATATACAATCGAAATCAAGTTTCGACATCAAGTCTTTATCTAATCGAGTTTAACTAAACGAGCATGCATTTGAAAGGATCGAACTATATAACAATATATAAAAAATCAGAATTAATTATCGATCTTAAAAAATTTTAACGAGTCAAACCAAATTTAATTAAGAACAACTTAGTTTCGTTTTACAACTGCATAATTTTTCTTTTATTAATTTATTGGTTGCTATTTACTAACTTCAATTATAGTTTTAGCATAATTAGTTGCACATGACCAACAACATCTATATATCTATATAATAAGAATTACTACTATTTTTCAAAAATAGTAGGTCAACTATATGGTCAAATTCATTCATCATTAATTACTTTCTATTAGTGGCATTTTTATTTAAGACCACGGACAACATTAAATGCAATGGTTAGTTTGTTACAATAATGACCACATAATCGGGAAAGATTCAACTGACCACATAAATTTCGAAAATATTTTTTCACAGGAATATGGCTAAGACATTTGTTGTACGCGAATTTATTTATAAATAATCCCTTTTCAATGTTATCTCTATTTTTATGGTAGAAATCCGATTTACATGGATTTGCTTGAAAGCTTAATTTATTATTTTTTCTATACACACACTAAAAATCTCGAATTAATATTTTA